ACCGAGGAACCCCACATACCTTTATTATGGATGAAGTGATGAGAGCTGACATGAAGCATGTGAGAATGATGTTGGTGGCCGCTGCCCCGCCGATGCCGCTGTGCCCTGGGCGACCGTCACGGATAGCGGCCGCGGTGAGAGACCACCCCCTGCGCACCCCCGTACGGTGTCGAGAATATGCCATGCCTGCTGTGCCCTGGACGACCGTCACGGATAGCGGCCGAACTGAGAGACCACCCCCCCCGCACCCCCTATGGTGTCGAAAATATGCCATGCCTGCTGTGCCCTGGACGACTGTCACGGATAGCGGCCGCGGTGAGAGACCACCCCCTGCGCACCCCCTATGGTGTCGAGAATATGCCATGCCTGCTGTGCCCTGGACGACCGTCACGGATAGCGGCCGCGGTGAGAGACCACCCCCTGCGCACCCCCTATGGTGTCGAGAATATGCCATGCCTGCTGTGCCCTGGACGACCGTCACGGATAGCGGCCGCGGTGAGAGACCACCCCCTGCGCACAGTCCGGGCACGGCCGAGAAATGCCAATGCCTGCCCTGTCTGGACCGACCGACCGATAGCGGCCGCGGTAAAAAGACCACCATCCCCCTGCGCACCCCCTACGGTGTCTGAAATAGCCAATGCTAGCTGCGCCCTGACGACCGTCACGAATAAGCGGCCGCGGTGATAGACCACCGCCTGCGCACTGACCCCAATGGTGTCTAGAATAATCCATGCCTTGCAGTGTGCCTGGACGACCGTCACGGATAGCGGCCAGCGAGTGAGAGACCACCCCTTGCGCCACCCCGTATGTGTCGAAAATAGCCATGCCTGCTGTGGCCTGGAACGACCGTCACGGATAGCGGCTGCGTGAGAGAACACCCCCTGCGCACCCCGTAATGGTGTTCGAGAATATGCCATCCTGCTGTGCCCAGGACGACCGTCACGGATAGCGGCCGCGGTGAGAGAAACCACCCCCGGCCCCTGCGCACGCCCGTTTGGTGTGCGAATATGCCATGCCGTCTGCTGTCCTGGGCGACCGACCACGGATAGCGGCCGCGGTGAGAGACCACCCCTTGCGCACCCCCTAATGGTGTCGAGAATATGCCATGCCTGCTGTGCCCTGGACGACCGTCACGGATAGCGGCCGCGGTGAGAGACCACCCCCTGCGCACCCCCTTATGGTGTCGAGAATATGCCAAGCCTGCTGTGCCCTGGACGACCGTCACGGATAGCGGCCGCGGTGAGAGACCACCCCCTGCGCACCCCTTAATGGTGTCGAGAATATGCCATGCCTGCTGTGCCCTGGACGACCGTCACGGATAGCGGCCGCGGTGAGAGACCACCCCCTGCGCATCCCCTATGGTGTCGAGAATATGCCATGCCTGCTGTGCCCTGGACGACCGTCACGGATAGCGCGATAGCTGCCGCGGTAAGAGACAACCCCCCAAGCGCACCTCCCAAATGGGTGTCCAGAATATGCCCATGCCTGCTGTGCCCTGGACGCCGGTCCGGAAAGCCGGCCGCGGTGAGAGTACCACCCCCTGCGCACCCCCCGTAAGGTGTCGAGAAATAATGCCATTCCTCTGTTGCCTGGACGACGTCACGGGATAGCGCCGCGGTGAGAGACCACACCTTGCGCACCCCGTATGGTGTCGAGAATATGCCATGCCTGCAGTGCCCTGGACGACCGTCACCGATAGCGGCCGCGGTGAGAGACCGCCCCCTGCGCACCCCCTCTGGTGTCGAGAATATGCCATGCCTGCTGTGCCCTGGACGACCGTCACGGATAGCGGCCGCGGTGAGAGACCACCCCCTGCGCACCCCCTCTGGTGTCGAGAATATTCCATGCCTGCTGTGCCCTGGACGACCGGCACGGATAGCGGCCGCGGTGAGAGACCACCCCCTGCGCACCCCCTATGGTGTCGAGAATATGCCATGCCTGCTGTGCCCTGGACGACCGTCACGGATAGCGGCCGCGGTGAGAGACCACCCCCTGCGCACCCCCTATGGTGTCGAGAATATGCCATGCCTGCTGTGCCCTGGACGACCGTCACGGAAAGCGGCCGCGGTGAGAGACCACCCCCTGCGCACCCCCTATGGCGTCGAGAATGTGCTGTGCTGTGCTGAGTTGAGCTGAGCTGCGAGAAGGAGAAGGGGAGAGGGGAGGAGGAGACGCGGGTGCGCCGCGGCAGGGAAGAAAACCAGGACCCCACGAAACATGTGGGGAAGAAAACCAAAACCCCACGAAGCATGTGGGGAACCAAAACGGTGCCGAAAACCAAAGGGGCGCCGGAAACCATGATGGCACCGAAAACCAAAACTGCGCCGAAAACCAAAGGAGCGCCGAAAACCAGAGCGGCGCCAAAAAACCACAAGGGCGCCGAGAACCAAAGGAGTGCCGAAAGCCGAAAAGGCGCCGGAAAACAAAGGGGTGCCGAAAAACCAGGGGGCGCAGAAAAACAAAAGGAGTAAGAACAAAAAAACGCTGCACACAAAAACGGGCACCGAAAAACAAAGATGCGCCAGAAACCAAAAGGGCGCCGAAAAACCAAAAGGGCACCGAAAACAAAAAGGCGCAAAAAACCAAGAGGGCGCCGAAAACCAAAGGGGCGCCGAACACCCAAGGGGCGCAGAAAACCAAAATGAGCGCCGAAATCCACAGGGGCGCAGAAAACCAACGATGCGTCGAAAACCAAAAGGGCGCCGAAATACCAATAACCAAAGAGAGCCGAAAGCGATAGGGGCGCCGAAAAAACAGAAGCTCCGAAGACCGACAGCATGCCAGAAACCAAAGCGGCGCCGAAAAACGCAGGAGTGACGATAACCAAAGGGGCGCCGAAAACCAAACAGACACCGAAAACTAAAGGGGTGCCGAAAAACAAAGATGCGCCGAAGACCAAAAGGGTGCCGAAAAACTAAAAGACGCGCCCATAATCAAAAGGGAGTCAAAAACCAAAGGACGCCAAAAACTCAAGGCGCGCCGAAAGCCGAAGGGCTCCCAAAACCAAAGGGGCGCCGAAAACCAAAGAGCGACGAAAACCAAGAGGGCGCCGAAAATGAAATGGGCGCCCGAAATCACAAGGGCGCCGAAAACCCAAAGGGCGCCGAAAACCAGAAGGGGCGCTGGAACCCAAGAGGGCGCCGAAAACCGACGATGCGCCGAAAACCAAAGGGTGCGCAGAAAACCGAAATGGGCGCCGAAAACCAACGCCGAAAACCACAGGAGCGCCGAAAACCAAAGAAGCGCCGAAAACCAAAGGAGCGCCGAAAACCAAATGGGCGCCAAAGGCCCAAGGGACGCCGAAAACCAAAGATGCACCGAAAACCAAAGAGACGCCGAAAACCACAAGTACGCCGGGCGCCGAAAACCAAAGAAGGAAAGTAAGTGGCTTCGAATCCCCCCCTTCAGCCAGGACCCTCCAGCTGGACAAGCCAACAGAACGAGGGGAGGGGGGGTAGCTTCGGAAGCATCCCCCCTTTGGAAAGGGAAGCCCAGGCTTATCCCGTGCTCCGAAAAGGAAAAAAGGGGAAGCTTCCAAGCCCTTCTTTAGCCAAGGACCCCCCAGCTACAAAATCCAAATAAAAGGAAGGGGTGGGTAGCTTCGGAAGCCCCCCCCCTTTGAAAGGGACGCCCAGGCTGACCCCGGGCGCCGAAAAGAAAGGGAGGGGGGAGTAGCTTCCAAGCCCCCCCCCCGTGTAGCTAGAACCCCCCCAGCTACAAAATGCCCGCAAAAGGGTGGGAGGGGGGGTAGCTTGGGAAGCCCCCCCTTTCCAAGGTAGAGGGGGGGAGGGGGGGAAGGTAGCTTGAAGCTGGTGCCCCCTTTTTAATGAGAAGTGCGCCACGAGCGCGCTCTTCCGCATACAATACTCGCGTCCCTGAGAACACGAGGCACCAAGACTACACAATAGTGGCGTCCCCGAGGCCATGATCCTTTGCAAATTACGCCATGGTTGAGTCCTCGAAACCATAATTCCTCGTTAAAGACGTAATCAGCCTGCGTAGATTAAACGGTGTTTGCGTCACCAAAGTCACGACCACCCGTAAATTCAGCAATCATCGAATCCCCGAGGCCACGGCTCCTCGTAAATTGTTCCATACTCGCGCCCCCGAAACCACACGGCATTCGAATCCCCGAAACCAGAATCCCTCGTAGGTTACGCAAGGCGAGCCCGCAAACCCTTCTGAAGTAGGCAATACCTGTGTCACCGAGGCATCGATCCCGCGTAAAGTATACAAGATTCGCGTCCCCGAGGCCACGGCCCCTCAGGAATCATACTATACTCGCGCCTCCGAGGCCGAGATCCCCCGTAAGTTACGCAATGTTCGCGTCCCCGAGGCCATAATCCTTTATGAATTACACAAGTTTCGCGTCCTCGAAGCCATAATCCCTTCGCAAAGTATGTAATAGGTTCGCATCCTCGAGGCCATTAACCGTCATAAACTAAACACGTCTGCGCCACCGAAGCCACGATCCCTCGTCGCAAATTATGCCATACTCGCGTCCTCGAAATCATGACCCATTGTAAATTACACAATATCGTCCTCGAAACCATAACCCCTTCGCAAATTATATATCATGTCCCCCCTCCCGCAGTTTCTTGAAAATTCGGCGGTGGACCCAAAGCCACTAATCCCCGAAGATAGCGATGGATGCAAAGAAGCAAGAGACCACTCCAACCGCGCGATTTGGTCCAACATGGCCTCAAGCAACTGCAAATCGTACCGAGAGGACTTCTCATGCATAACACGAGGGGAGCGCTCTTATAAGGCGCGCTGAATACTAACTCCAACATATCTGTATGTTTGGATGATTCCTATCTGGCCTTGCATGGTGCTCTGAGTTGTCTTCAAGGCGGCGCCCGGACACCCCACCATAGTTCTGATGAAAGAGAGGGGGCCGGCAGCAGAGGGCGAAGCCCTTACGGGTATAAGTGGAGGGCTGGGCCACAGGGGATCGCCGCACGGCGCCATTGTTCCTTCTTCTCCCCGACGCTGCAGGCCTTGGAGGGGCGCAGGATGCGCTCGGGGCAACTCAAGCCGGAGATCACTGGCCGCCTCGCCATCATGGCGTTGCAGTCCTTCAGGCCGAAGACGAGGACGGGGTTGAGGGCGCCGAGGTCCTTCGGGGGCTGCGCGAACAGCTGCGGCCCCACCTCGCAGAGGATCGGGCTGGGCAGCTCGAAGAAGTCCTTCGGCTGCGGCGGCCACGAGAGCTGGTTCCTCCCGAACGACGAACGTATCCATGTCTACGCCATCGCGGTCTGGATTTCGGGGCGCGATCCCACGGATATGCGGTCACACAGATACGTTCCACGCAGGGCATCCACAAAGAAAAAATGCCCCATATGCGCGGTGTCGCGGCCCAGGGGCCCAGACCACGAGGCCCTGGATACAGATATGTTGTTCGCGCACGAGTTCCCGTAGGCCGCGTCGTGGAGGGACTTCTGCAGCTGGGCGAGCTTCGCCTTCCACTGCTTGACGAGGCGGACCTTCTTCGGCTTGGTCAACTGCGGCAGCTGGGCGCAGATCTCCGGGTTCTGCGCCATGATGTGGAGTATCGACACCAGGTACCCGGGGAAGCGCGAGCCCCGGGTGAGGTGGAGCAGCATCAACCCGAAGGTGTGCTGGTGCTGCGGGTTGACCTCCTTCGAGCGGCTGAGGCGCACAGAGAGGCTTCGCGTGAAGATGGAGTAGAGCAGTGCCCACGTGGGCGCGTCCCGAATGGACTCGCCTGGACAAAGAAAAAATGAATGAGCGCAAACATTCGGAGGTCCGTGCAGATTTCCTGCACGCCACGGGGCGGCCATCCAAGAACTCCGCGCAGGCCTCCGAAAGTTTGTAAGACGGGTTTGCTCTTCCTCGATCGCCACCCATCAGCAGCTTGAACCCCTCCTCCATGGCCAGCGGGAGGCTGAGGCGCCGCATGAGCGGAATGTCGGGGCCCTGCGCGTTGTCGGCCTCCTCATCACCCTCGGGGCGGTGCAGGTGCTCGGCCCCTAACACCTCAAAGAGGATGTCGTACAGGGAGCAGACGAGGGCATTCTCGTCCAGGTGGGTCTGCCATTTTGTCTCCTTGGAAGCAGAAGCAAAGACGCCGACATGAATTTTCGAGCATCCGCGCAGCCCTCCCAAAGATCATGCTTGTGTTTCTTATTATCAGAGTGAAGGGGGCCGAACGGTCATTCATTGTCCCTGGGTGCGTGGCTGAATAGGGAATTCGTGGTGATCCCACAAACTCCATATTCGTGTTGTTACGTTGTTGTTGTTTGTTGTCGTCATCCCACCCGCGACCCACCCGCGACCCACCCGCGACCCACCCCGCGACCCACCCCGCGACCCACCCCGCGACCCACCCCACGACCCACCCCGCGACCCACCCGCGACCCACCCCGCGACCCACCCGCGAGCCACCCCGCGACCCACCCGCGACGCGCCCGCGACCCACCCGCGACCCACCCCGCGACCCACCCCGCGACCCACCCGCGATCCACCCCTCGACCCACCCGCGACCCATCCGCAACACACCCGCGACCCACCCCGCGACCCACCCGCGACCCACCCCGCGAGCCACCCTCAAGGAAGGAGGAACCACCCGGACCCGACAATTGACTTTTACTAAACGGCCCTGGGCGTTTACTGAACAGCCTTGCCCTGTTCGATTCATTCCTTGTGTGCGTTTACTAAACGGCTTCGCTTGTGGGGTGATGATTATGGGGTGGATTTTCTGCCCTCTACACCCGCGACCCACCCGCGACGCATTTGCGACCCACCCGCGACCTACCCACATTGCTTAACGAAAAAATCGGCACCTGCGGCGGGCTCATTGTATAATTTGTGAAACTTTGGCGCCTGCGGCGGGCTTCTCCAGAGTCTCGCAAACTGCCGACGCCCCCACCGCCCCCTCACTCTTACCCGCATCTGCGGGGCGCTACGTAAATCTTCGACTCCTCCGGCCGCTTGGGAGCTGCGAGGTACAGCGGCCGCTGCGAGGGGTCGTGGAGCGCCTCAAGGTAGGCCTCGCGATTCTCAAGGGACAAGACCTGCGAGGGGTCCTCCTCGCCAAAGGTCCACCTCGTGTACATCGGCTCGAGCACGTCGGCGAGTACCGCCCGGATCTCCTCGTTGGTACCCGGCAACTGCGCGGCACGGAGCTTGCGGCGCAGATGCTTGATCCAATCCTCTCGGGGACGCACCAGCCCCCGGTCAGCGCAGACCCGGGTCAGCCACGGCCGCGTCGCGAACCCAGGCTGGCCACGAAGTAGCTCCCCAAGCCGGGGACAGCGGAGGGCGGAGGGGGCGAATCGGCCCCGCGTAGCTCCCAATCCCCAGGGTCAGCCAGAAGGGATTGGCTGACCCCCGTCAGCGCCGACACCGGCTGCGTGAGCCCCGATCCTCCAACTCGCGCACCTCGCCAGCTGGCGCCTCGAGCGCATACTCCGCGTCCGTCAGGATCTTGTGCCAGATCTTCACGGTGGTCATCGTCAGCGCGCTGTACGACTTTGAGGTCAGCGCTTTCACCTCCGCGCGGATCAGCTCGCGCCTGTCGCGCTCGCTGCGGCACAGCTTCAGTGCCCATGCCTCCTCCGACTCGCCCAGGCGGCAGCGAGCGCTCACCTGCGACAGCTTATTGAGGTAGCCAACCATCTCCGAGGCAATGTCCCACTGCTTCTCGAGTCCTGGAACGTTCCGCAGGGCCAGAGACACCTGCAGTCTGAGCGCGTGCGTGTCGGGGTGCGGTTCCGCGATGTGTCCAAAGTGCTCGTAGATCTGGTTCGCACTCGAGTCCAACTTGTCGTCCGTGGAGATGGAAGAGACGAGCGCGGCCGCCGAGCCGTGCCTTCGGTGGAGCCACTCCATCAGGAGCAGGTACAAAGCCCCCGTTTGCGTAGCAGGCTGCAGAAAGCGAAGCGTGGGGTGGACGGCATACAGGAAGGTCTTGTTCCTTGCGGCGGTCTGCCAGGGCTTGTCGCTCCTGGCCAAGACCAGCTCTGTCGAGAAAGGGTCCTCCTGAACAATCGGTCGAACCGGCTTGACGTTGGGTGTCAGGACGCTGAACTCCGAGTTCTCGTTCTGCAACAGGATGGCATGGGGCATCTGCACAAGCAACTTCCATGCCTCCGACCTGAGGGTTGTAATGGGCACCAGCTGCGCTTCGCAAAGTACGAAAGCATTCGCCCAGAAAGCGCGCTGCTCCATGGAAGGGGAAGAGAAGTCCATTCTCAAGAGATTTCAGGACCCCTAGGAGAAGATATTTTGCTGGTTAGCGAAGACTCTCCCCTCAGAGAAAGTTTTCCATCATCAGTGCTTGCACTGAGGGTCTCTTCCTATTACCTTCAAGGCATTGGGTACGGGGCGGGGCAGATTAATGGGTACCATCAGTGCCCCGCTGCAGCCCGCAGGCTAGGGGCTCTTACTGCTACCCTCAAGAAATTGGATACGGGGCGGCGCAGACTAATGGGTGCCATCAGTGCCCTGATGCAGCCCGCAGGCTAGAGGCTCTTACTGCTACCTTCAAGACATTGGGCACGGGGCGGCGCAAATTAATGGGTGCCATCAGTGCCCCGGTGCAGCCAGCAGGCGCCACCAAAGACCTGAGTGAGGTCGGCGGCCCGTTGGGCACGAACAGGCCACCATAGTCGAGGCAGCAGAGACGCATGACCCCGCCCACCTGTCGGGCAGTGCCGAGGGGGGGGGGTCGCCACTTCAGGGAGAGCTCGCCACCTCCTCCATTTTCGTTGATAGCATTGCCGTTGAGCAGGTCGAGGAAGAAACTTTCTCCAGGTGCTCAGGTCGAGCATCTCCGTTGATCAGGTGATCGGGTAGCAATCGAGACAGAAAAAGCTGTAACGACGTAAACTGTCGGAGGTCTGCGACGACCTCCGAACGTTTAGTTGATACAGTTCCTCCGACTCCTGGAAACTCGAGGGTCGAGGCGGCGAAGGATCGAGGATCCAGGAGTTCCTGGGCGCTCCTGGGCGCCCCCGGGAGCCCGCCGCCGCCTCGTCGCCGCCCCGTACGCTGGCTGGCGTTGTTACAAGCTTCCGCGCGGTGGCCGCCCGCCCGCCGCCCCGGCGCTGCCTTGTGCGGGGTCTGTGGAGGGGCCCGGAGGGGGGCCCGCCCCCTGGAGGAGACGGCGACCCCCTCGGCAGCGAACCCCACCCCTTGGCACTGCCTGGCACCTGCTCGCACCGGAAGGACACCCCCAGACGGGGGAGCTCCACGAGGTCGATGGAGGGCTGCGTCCTCGGCAGCACCCTTTGGTCCAGGCTCAGGTGAGGTACGCACTCGATCTCGACCCCGGAGCCAGGCCCGACCCGGCCGAAGGCACGGAGTGCACCGCCGAGAGCCGCGTCCTGCCCGATCCATACCGGGCGGGCTCACGGAGAGCCCGATCGATCGCAGCGATCTCGACCGATCGGTGGACCGACGGGAGGAGGGTGAGGGGGATCGGGAGGGGGGAAGAGGAGGCGAGAAGGAGAAAGGGCGAGGAGGGTCTGCAATCAAGCTTCGATCGGCAGATCGAAGCCTCCTGGGGCCGCCTCCCCGGCTCAGCCTTGCGAGGGTCGGCCCGAGTCCAGGCCAGGACGTGCGAGAGGTCGTCCAGACGAGTCAGCAGGCGGGAGAGGGAGTGCAGTGGTGTGCCTCACGCGGGGGGCATCCAAGCGCAACCACCCTGCTTGGCCAGGGCCACCCTGGGCTCTTGCATGGTGCAAACGCGCTCGTGACCGAGGTCAGGAGGGCCTGTACACCATCCTGGGGGTCAGGGTGGCCCTGGCCAGGCACCGCGGTGATGTGTCAGGGGCCGTCTGCGGGGTACCTTCCGCCGCGTACAGCAGGTTGAGGAGGAAGAGGGGCCTCTGGTGCGCCTGGTGCTGCGCGATCAGCGCAGACCAGCCGCGCACCTGCGTGGACGGCACGCTCCCGCACTTGACGAGCTGCACGTCCAGGAAGCGGGTGGGCTGCCCGGGCTCTTCGTCGCCTTCCGGCGTCAGCGGGTAGCCACGGATGGTGCGGTTCGGCCAGGCGTTGGCCTGGTAGAAGCGCCACTGCTCCACCAGGCACTCTGGCATCAGGCCCCTGAGCACCAGCGGCGGCAAGTACTGCTCGCCCTCGCGACAGGCGCGCTCCCACACGGTCCACTCGCTCTCGTCGTCGTCCTCCTCGCTGAGGTCGCCCTCCGACCACTCGTCCGCGTCGTCCAGCCCATCCGTTCCTGCCAAGTCCTCCGCCTCAGAAGCTCCCATCCGGTCCAGACTGACCTGAGATCTGGTCACGATCCCGATTCGTCGGACCCAAGCTGGCCAAAAGCACGAGGCAGTCCACTGGCCGAAAGCCCGATCGATCGCTCCGATTCCGATCCGGATCGGGCGATAGATCAGCGATCCGCGGTTCGGCATCGACCCCGGTCGACGAATCGCAGTCTTTCCAGGT